AAAGGAAAGGAAAGGAAAGGAAAGGAAAGGAAAGGAAAGGAAAGGAAAGGAAAGGAAAGGAAAGGAAAGGAAAGGAAAGGAAAGGAAAGGAAAGGGAAAAGGGAAAAGGGAAAAGGGAAAAGGGAAAAGGAAAGGAATGATACCCCTGCTCTCCCATGGCCTGGCTTCAGCTTCTGACACACACATGGCACATCCCACTTGAGCACTTAGGGAGGCAGGAGCTTCCAGGCTTTGTGCAGTGACTGTGATGTTCTCTCATATCAGGGTGTAGGAACTGATCCAGGTGGGATACCCACAGATGGAGGGAGGGAGCAGCACTGGGGCAGGGAAGGGTGAGGGAAACACAGAGGGAAAGGCCCTGCTGGGAGCCCACCAAGTCCACGGGGTGGTGTGGTACTTYCACCTGGTGTTCAGCCCTACTTCCTCTATCCTGGTGTTGCACCAGTCTGCATTTGGGATGGTGAGGGGATGGGTTCTCATCTCCTTGGGGTTACCTAATTAATTCTGGCTGTAGTTCGACCGAAGAGGGTACTGCAAAGAGATTCACTGCTGTTTCGGCTCTGCTGAGGTTTTGGTCACTTCACACCTCAAGGGAAGCTCAGGGAATCCCTGTCAGTCAGCTACAGAAGATATTTCTCCTGTGCTGTCAGATCCCTTAGGACCTGGCTGTGGTTCCTTGGAGGCTGTCCTGTGCAGGGTCAGGAGCTGGATTTGGTGATTCTTGTGGGTCCCTTTCAACTCAAGATGTTSCATGATTCTGTGTTTCTCCCCTGTGCTCAGTGATTGCAGACACRCTCTCAGCTTCCATGGCTCCGCAAGCCCTGACCCTCAGTGAAGGGGATGCCCTGGAGCTCACCTGTGAGGTGTCCAAGTCCACAGCCCAGCAYACACACCTCTCAGTTGGCTGGCACCTCCTTCAGGGAGCAGGAGAACACCGCACCCAGGAGATCCTCACCCTCTCCAAGGACTTCATCCTGAAGCCAGGGCCCGGTTACGAGCGGAGGTTCCTGGAGGGGGATGTGCGGCTGAGCAAGGTTGGGAACAGCACGTACAAGCTTTTCATCAGGGGAGTGCAGCCATCCGAGCAGGGGCAGCTGTTCTGCGAGGCAGCTGAGTGGATCGAGGATCCTGACGGGACCTGGAAGGACATTTCCCGCAAGCAGACAGAGAGGACTTTGCTGGAAATCGTGAGCCGGGGTAAGGCTTTGTAAATTCACCTGTGGGCTCCAGCCCCTGGTGCATCCGAGGCTCTGTGGCAGCAGCCCTCAGTGCCCTTTGCCCGGCCACTGCTGCAGCCCAGGGACACACTGATGGGTCTGGCTGGGCACTGATGGCCGGGCTGGGCTGGGCTCAGGGCCAGGCAGCCCCTGGCTCAGCAGCTGTTGGTGTTTCCCAGTCTGGCTGTTCACGCAGCCGAATCCCCAACACCAGCAGCAAGGCCAGCCTCACGGATCCATGTGAGCTGTTAGCAGTGCTGCAGTGTGTGCCTGCAGCAGCCCAGCTCCAGAGTGTGGAAAACGGGGGTGTCACGCTGCCTCCAGGGTCTTGTGGCCCTAAAAAAGCACACCCCMGTCAGCTGCTTGTCATGGTGCCACAGGGGGCATGGGGGTGTCCTGYCTGTGCTGCACGGTTCTTGTCTGTCCCTGCTGCCCCCAGCCCGCCCTGGTGCTGCTGTTGATGAGGCCATTCCTCTCAGCTCCCTGCCTTCCATCCCTCCTGCCACGAGTCTTTGCTGGCTGCCATCCCTCACCCTGCCCTTCCCCCAGATGTGTGTGAGCAGCTGTGCCCAGAAGAAGGGAGGATCTCTCTCTCTCTCTCTCTCTCTCTCTCAGTCGCTTCACCTCAAAGCAGCCAAGACCAGGCTGTGGCCAGCTGATGTCCTTTTACATATGCAGTAGTGTGCAGTAAAATGGGAGCCAGTGTCCCGCTGAAACCCTACCTGTGGAGGTGCTGTGCCCTGTCCCCACTCCTCAGGGTGGAGGGAGGAGGCTGCRGAGCAGAGCTGGGGCAGTGAGGGGAACTGATGTCTCGTGGGAGGGTGGTGAGTCAGAGCAGGAAACCAAAGGAACAGATGGGTGAGAACGGAGCGCTCTGTACGTGGCTCAGGGGGGCAAGGTATCAGGAGGAGGGGGAGGGAAGCGGGAACTCTTGTCAGAGTCTGCTTCCCAAAACCTGCCTGACTGGCAAAGCTTTATTGCCCTCAATGTGCACTGTCTGCAGCAAAGGCTTTCCAGGCCTGGGGAACCATTGCAGTGAATGCACTTCCATGCATCCCCTTGTTGAGGCAGACACGACTGGCAGGGTGTGGTTTCAGGCATCAGTGCCTCATTCAGAGATAGACAAACCTTGTCAGAGTTTGGTACTCACCCTGTGGTCACTGTTAAAGAACGGAGATGATGGTGAGATGAGACAATGGTGGCAGTATTTGGGCTGCTGGCACTGCCACGGAGGGACAGCAGTGGCTCTACCAGCCCTCCTTCCATCATATCTGCAGGGCTGGATTCTTCCTCCAGCWCCCAGAGGGGGAGCCCAGGCTGAGGGAGGGACTGAGCCCCCATCACACTGAGAGCCAGTGACCGTTCTGACCACAGTGAACTGCTCTGTCCGTTTCTACAAACTCTCCAGCAAATATTTAGGAATGCCAAACATATCTGCAGCAGCTGGGATTCCTGTTCGCAAACTGTTTACGAGCCAGTGTTTAAATTCACAGGGTACTCTGCTTTCAATAAACTATTTGAGCGCTTCCAGTTGTGGTCTGGGAGCTGCTCTGTTTTAGTTCCAAGGTACAGCATTGTAGTCTTTCCCTTATTTTGAGACTCAGGGCTCACTGCAGTGACCCAGGGAGACAGGGTGGTGTTAGCCAGGCTCTCTGCCCAGGGAATCGGGGCTTGGCCCTTCCCCCAGGTTTTTGGCTGTGCCACTGCTCTGTGGGGTCATGGTGCAGGGTTTTGAGGCACCCTGTGGGTTTCCCACCTGCAGCTACTCTCCAGCCAGGCTGGTGCCAGGAGCCAGGGGTTGGAATGCCCAGCAAGGAAGGTGAATTGTGTCATGGGACCCAGAGATGGGGTCCTGACCTCAAACATAGCCCAAGAGGGTCAGCCAAGGGGAAGATGGCTTTTTGTTCTCCCTGTCACTGCCCTCCTTGCTCAGCACCCACTGCTTATTGTACAGGGGGCAGGATTGGGACTGGATGGCCTCCACYTTATCTTGCATCCCTCCTACCTCCCCGTGCTGTGGCAAGTCTTGACATTTCCACTTTCTGTAGGAACTTAACCCAAATCCTTTCCAGCTTGGAGAGCATCTCTTGCCCACAACCCACAGCAGCCATTGAGGGGGTGCAGCACACAGGACCTGCCACAGCAGAATCAGACAAAGAATTTGAATGCCAGCCCTTCACACACCTTTTTGTACCACAAGCAACAGAGTTAAAACCACCACTGTGATAAAACCCTTTTGCTCCCCTTTTTGGCTTGCAGGATATGYGTTCCCTGATGTTTCAACAGAGAATTCGCACCTGTTGCCCTCTGCAAGGCCATTGGTGCAGCCAGGCAGGAGAGGAGCATGGGCAGGGCCCCCCATCCTCCTCCTTGCCTCTGATTCCCCGCAGGCARAGACCTCTCCGTGGACATCGCTGCYRCTGAAYGGTCCCTTTCTGAAGGGGACACCTTGCAGCTGAATTGTGTGGTGGGAGYGCAGAAGAGCAGCAGCCGGCACTTTGAAGTGATTTGGCTCCTGGATAGCGTGGAAGTGGCCAGGATTGACCCCCATGGGGTCTTGATTTGGGAGGAAGGATACGAGGAGAGAGCCAAGCTGGGGCAGCTCCGAGCCTTCAAGCCGAGCAACACCGTCTATGTCCTTGTGGTGCRTGAGGTGGGGCTGAAGGATGAGGGCACGTACCAGTGCTCTGTGTCGGAAATGAGGGCTCCTGGAGACCTGCAGAGCATCCAGACTGATCTGTCATCAGGAGTGCAAGTCAACGTGAAGCCAGCAGGTGARTAAATCCCACTGACTGCTCTTCCAGGTGAAGCCTGCAGGATCCTTGGCTGGGGAATGCTTTGAGTCTGGCCTCATCTTGACAGGGGCAGCAAAAGTGCAGATATTCCTTTGTTTTTGATAGATAAGGGGGAAAGCATTTGCTTTAGCAAATATTAGAGTGRGAGAAAAAATATCAATCAACAAAGTGTAAACCTTTAGCCCAGTCTCTTCACAGTAAGTTTTGGGGCAAATAGGTAGAATTCTGAGGAGTCTGGGTCCTCCTGTGCCTTTGTTACTGAAAACTGTGAGCAACATCTGTTGCTACTCCTGAAAATCACAGGAAAACCCAGCAGAACAGACACATCTGGGCAGGGGTATCATTGCTGTTCCCATCAGGGTAGTCTCCCTGGTTTGGATAGATGATTTGTGAGAAACCACTCTAAGAAAAGTGTGTAGGAGGCTCTTGGTTTCCTGTCATAGGTAGATAATGGTTACTCTGATGTAGCAGGAGCTGCGTGCTGGGGCTCTGTTTCTTAACCAATTCTTCATGTATCCATGTCCCAAGAAAGACATTAAACAGAAAAAAAAACCCCAACCAAACCAAAAAAACCCACAACCACAAAGCCTTCTTTAAATTTATAAGGAAAGGCTGGTTGAAAATTTTAGACAATTCTGCAATTCCCTTCCTTTTCCCATGTCAAGATTTAGCGAATCTTTCCATGTAATGCTGCAGTATCTCTGGCTTTTCAAGCAGCACAGCATCCCCCCCAGCAYGGTAACTCCTGTTTGCAGAGAGCCACATGAACCTGTCCGTGTCCACCAGCACCCCACGGGTCATGGAGGGAGAGCCCCTGACCCTCCTCTGCGAGGTGCAGGGAGCCACTGGCCCCGTGTCYGTGCGCTGGTGGCACCTGCCACCGCAGCAGCCGGGTGACAGGGTGCTGGTGGCCACCATGGAGCGGGACGGCACCCTGAGCCTGGGCAGCGCCTACCAGGATGGGAGGACTCRGGGGAGCCTTCGGCTGGAGAAAGCGAGCCCTGGCACTTTCACTCTGGTGATCCCCAGCACGCTGGGCGAGGATGATRGCGGGCAGTACAGGTGTGAAGCCACACAGTGGTCCCGAGGCCGGAGCTGGACAGAGAAGGGAGAGGCAGCAGTGACGGTCAGCTCCATGGGTGAGTGCAGCCACCCCTGTTTGTGGGCTGGAGGCGATGCTGGACAGCAGGTGGACACTGAGCCCTGCTGTGCACTGAGCTCTGCAGGGTGTCCTAGGCCTGRGCACTCGGCTCTGGAATGATGCCGTTTGCCCCTTTCCACCAGGATGCTGGGGTCCTCCATGGGGGTTTTGGGAGAGACCAGTGGGAGACAGCATATGAAATGCCCCCAGACCTGAAGGGCAATAGCTTGGTCTTTCTGTCTCCTTAAGCTGAAATACAAAACATCTGTTCTAGAGACATAATTACTTGCAGTAATTAAGTTTAACAAAGCTACTTGTTGAGTTGTCTGGTGGTATTTGGTAGTATTTGTCAGAGATAAGCCCTAGTGCTGGCCTCTGATTGCTTCTCCTCCCCTCCTGTCTGAGTGCAGAGCCACCATCATCCACGGTGTGCAGTGCCCACATCCTTCCTTCTCGGGTGCCTTTATGCAGAGGCAGTTTTTGGCTGTGATTTCGGGTGGTGGTTTAGGGTGGTTTTCCTGTCCTGTTGCTGGGCTGGGTGCCTGAGAGCACCCGTCCGGCCACAGGAACTGTTCAGCTTTTATAGAGGGTGAGGGGAAGCAGCAAACAGGGCAGCAGCTTCAGCAGARGATCCCTGGCTCCTGTGGGACTGGGGACCCTGGAAGAGATGGTGCTCAGAGTTTTCGGGGAAACTGGGGGTGAGAAGGTGGGTGGTAGGAGAGGGCCGGGAGCTGCATGGGGCTGGCAGAGAACGGGGCAGCCAAGGGACAGTGGCACTGGCCAAGCAGCAGCAGCACTGCTGGTTCCATGGCCCTGCGGTGCCYGGGGCAGCCAGGATGGGGTGGCAGGGAGTGGCACGGGGCAGGATTGCTGTCCCCAAGCCACGGGACAGGATTGCTGTCCCCATGTCAAGGGTCACGATTGCTGTCCCCATGCCCAAGGGGCAGCATTGCTGTCCCCATGCCAAGGGCTCTCTCTTCCCAAGCAGGTCTGGGTCTGCACGCCACGCTGAGGAGCCGAATGGCCACCGTCACACACGGGCAGAGCTTTGAGCTCGTGTGCCAGGTGGACGCCRCCTACGCCCTGGAGGAGGTGCCCATGTCTGTGCGATGGCTCTTCCAGCCCAGCCCACCCGCCGGGCCCCTCCAGGAGCTGCTSCGGGTCTCTCCCGGGGGCTCCGCGGTCTGGGGGACAGCGCAGCCGCGCTTCCAGGGGAAAGCCCAGCTGGCGAAGGCTGGCACTTCCTTCAGGCTGCACATCCATGGTGCCCTGCCTGCCCATCAGGGTACATACCAGTGTGAGGTGGAGGTGTGGAGGAGGAACACCCTGTCCTTGGGGCAGCCAGCGGCCACTGCCAGCTCCAACGCCGTGGCGATAAAGGTGGTGCTGCCAGGTAAGCAGCGCCTTCAGCAAAGTTCTCTCCTGCAACTTTAAATCCATCAAACGTGACTGGGGCAACCAAGGCTGCAGATGTCTGGGGTCACCTCCCAGGGCTCCCTGGTGCTGCCTGTTCTGTTGCTTCCTCGGTGACTGACAAAACCTTGCAGGCAAATTTGGCAAGTGGCAATATCYGTTTGTTTGCAGACCATGCCAGGCATACAGGGATCAGCCTTGGCACCAGGAATTTAAGCCTGGTTTCTGGAAAGTAGCGCCCCCCAAGAAGCCCAGCTGCATGTTGGGGTGTGAGGCCATGGTGTGGGCTTCGGGGAGGCAGTGGGGAGAGTCCAGTCCCTGGAGCTGATGCTGCGATCTGCCTGCGTTCCCTGCCCAGCATATTCAGGGTAGCTGCGAAATCCCCAGGGCTCTCTGCCGGGCGCTGAGCCTCAGCGTGTCAGGGGCTCCGTGGAGAGGGGGCTCCTGCCGGGCTGCGCAGCCGGGGGCCTGCCCAGGGTTCCCTTTTATRGCCGCCCCCGCAGGCAGGGGCTGCGCTGCCATCCCTGCTGCCCGCATCCCGCTGGGAGCCGCATTCTCTTATGGAAGAGATGCTGCAGGCAGACCTCAGCCCCTGCCCTGCTTCCTGCCACCCTGGCAGCCCCCCGGTGTCACTGTGCCCTGCTCACAGCTGGGGCTGCTGTAGGAATGGGTGGGAGGGTTTGTCCTGGCCGAGACTCTGAGCCTGTGGAGGCAGCTGTGACAATATGCGTTGGTTCACATTTTGCCCTCGTGTCTGTTCTGCCAGTGAAGGAGAGTTCTTGCTCTTTTTTTCATGCATTAAGTGCTCCTTCCTCTAATCCTTGGATTTTTGGAATCACAGCCCAGTGAACTGAAATTATGAGTTTTTCATGTTTTTTAACTGATGGGTTTGCTGTGGCATAAGCTAATAYACTTCCTTCCCTCTTTGGGCTGTTTTCTCTGATGTCCTCACTCCTGCTCCTCTGCCACTCTTTCTTCACCCCTGTGGAGCTGGGATGCTCTGAGTAAYCCCTGAGCTACAGCCAGCAGGGACAGATGGCACTGAGGGTGACAATAATCAGCATTTTTGGGAACACATCTCTGGTGTAAATGGCATTAAGGTRAGCAGTGTAATTGCAGAGCACCTGCACAGAGGAGATGGTTGCAGCAAGAGACGACAACATTTGGCTCCAAAGGTGTCGCAGCTGTTGCTGGAGATGCTGTAAAGGTGCTGGGAACTGGGAGAGGGGGATGCACAGGGAGAGGTTGCTGCTGGCTCTGGTGCCATCCCTCTTGGAAARGCAGCACAAGCCAGCGAAGGATATTTGGGAAGGCAGAGAAGTCTGGGAAGGACRCAGACTCAGGCAGCAACAGGGTGAGGCAAAGCTGCAGAAAATGAAACTGCAAATCATGAAAATCACCAGGCTGCTTCTTCTCATGTAAAACCTTACAGCTGAAGCCTGCAGAGATACTAGAGTTCTTGACTTTTTGCTTCAGCACTTTATTTACTATTTAATGTCAGTCAATGCTTCAGGAGTTTACATGCTGCTGTGGTCTGTGGATCATTTTCAGATGGCAGGGACATCCATGAAAGATCATAACAGGCAGTGAAGCAGGACAGATCTTTTCCATCTCCAATTTCTTAGGTGGAGTCCCATAATTAGTGCTCCATGAGCCTCTCAGTGCAGCTGCCTGCTGTGACTTCCCCCTCTGGAATGAGCTGCAGGGGCTGTTTCACCTCCTGTCCCTCAGGCTAGCTGCCCACAGACTGTGCCCTTCTGCCTGCTCCACTACTCCTGGGCCAGGCAGAAAGTAAGGTGTCAGCAGGCAGGGTTCACAGGGAGGGAGGCAGAAAGATGCTCAGCTTGGTTAATTGAATTGAAAATGAAAGGGTAAACAGCACCACGTCTTTGTGCGAGAAAGGAAGAGGCAGGCATTAACTCTGCTCTGGCCTTGAGGTAATTGATCTTTAGCAGCAGAGAGAGGAGACCTGGAGCTGAAACAAAGGGGCTTTGCAGCAAGTGCTCTGCTTCCTCTTGAGGTGATCTCTGGGAGTGTAACAGCAATTCTGCTCATCAGAATGAAGTGCTCAAGGCAGAGGTTCCTGTGCCTCCTCTCTGAGYTCTCGTAGCTTTTCCTTCTCTGGGGCGTTTTCTGCCCCAGAGGGTGTCAGGCTGGGCCATACTGAAGCAAGACCCCCCCACCCCCTTCTTCCCTGGCAGTTCACCAACTGGTGAGTGATATCCTTGGTACTGAACAGGTGAAATCAAGAATTAAATGTGTTATTTTTTTCCAGTGTGACCAGTTCACTGTCATAGAAACACAGGATGGTGGAGGTTGGCAGGGACCTCTGGAGGTCACCTGGTCTGGCTCCCTGTGCAAGCAGGACCATGTAGAGCAGGCTGCCCAGGACCATTGCCAGGTGGCTTTTAAGTATCTCTGGTGTCCCCCTCTGAATATTTGTGCTTTCACAGAGCTGGCTCTGGAATGGATGTGCTTTTCAGTGCTAAAGTTTAAGACACCAACTTGTACCTAGTTCCCAAGTGTGCTCAGGCCTGTGTGATCTCAGTGGTGCATCTGATGAGTTTGCACAGGTTGCCAAATAGAGTGATTGCTGTCCCCTCTCTTCTGCTTTTTGCCCACACCAGCACCCAGGGGCTGAGCTCAATGGGGCTCAGTTGTCCCCTGTGGCAGAKGGTGTCCTGCTGCTCACCTCACGTGCAAGGAAAGTGCTAAGGATGGAAACTCAGCCTACAGTCCCTTAAAACCGTGCTGGTGTCTCCTGCTGAGTGATTGTGCCTGCCCAAGGGCAGACACTGTGTGTGCTYCTTGCCCTGACTGCTGCCTACATGTGACAGAGGTGGTGCATCAGCGTGGAGGGGAAATGCAGGTGATGGGAGAACCTTTAAAGAGAGGGATTTGCAGCCCTTTTGCTGCTGGAGGAGAGGTTCCAGTATCAAGGGATATGCTCTGGGAAGAGATTCAGGCACACGCACATGGGGGACTGTTGGCGCGGCCATTTGCAAGGAGACGGGGAGAGACACATAAACGACCTCGTAGACTTGGTTGTACGTGCTATCTCATCCGCTTTATTAACAGAAGCCGAGGCTTTTTATACCCTTGGCTCGTAATGGCGGTGGCAGTTAGACGTAACGCTTTTTGTAACAGGAATAACGGTAACTTAACGTACAGAAGCTCTTACTAACGCTCTAAAATTCCTTATATGGTAGCTCTGCCGTTGCAGGGGACTCGCGCTGACTACCCTCACCATAGGGTTATATTGTGGCTTCTCACGGCCTCGCGGGCGCTCGAGATAGACCCGACTGGAACTGTTACAGCGCCTGCCGGCTGTTGGCCAACGGTGGCCAACGGCACCGAATGTTCCAGATCCTTCACGGACCTTCTCGGCCCTTACCAGGCCTAGGCCCCACAATGGCTTACCACAGGGGACAGAGCTGCAGGCATCCCCACAGCTCTGAATCATGGCTGGGTGTGATCACAGCACGTGTGCAGGACCCTGTTGTGRGGTTTTGGATCAATCCCCACAGCAAACACCTGAGATGGCAACTGTTAGCAAAACCCACAGAGGCTCTGTGGTCTCTGTGTGATGAGAGACGCTTGTTCACAGTCTCCGAAGCCGTGGGCTGGTGTTGTCACACACGTGTGAGCCTGCTGGCGGAAGCAGTGCTAGACAGACACATTTGCTTCAGATGGAGGCTTTGCCTCCAAGCTCCATCGCAGTGGCTGCCTGCATCCCCCATCCCTGCTCCATGGTCCTGTGGCACCTCCTCTGCTGCTCTCCAGCCCGGTAACACCCAGCTGTGACTCCCTGCTATTTTTCAAACAGTGATGTGTTTTTGTGTGATTTGCTCCTTCCCTCCTCCCTCCACCCCTCTGCTCCAGCATCTGCTATGGAGTCTTTGTCCTCTGTGCACCCTCTTCCTCCCTCCTCGCTCAGTGAGTTTCTCTCAGCTTTATTCCTCTCCTTGCCAGCATCCCTGTGTTGGCAGCCACATCTGGCATGGTTATTTTGTTTCTCCATTTCAGAAAGCAAGCTCCAGGTTGCTACAAAAGACAGCTCTGTGGAAATTGTCGGTGGYAACGCAGCCATTGAGTGCAGGATTGTGTTTGCTCACAACAATTCACAGTTTGCTGTTACCTGGTACCTCCTGCCTCTTCTGCCAGACGCAACCCCCCTACAAATCGTCAGGGCTGACTACAGCAGCGTACTGGAGTATGGGTCTGAATTCAGCTCTCCTGTGGAAAAGTCCCGGTTCCTGAGCCAGAGGGTGTCCAGTGACATATTCCAGCTGCAGATTCTGTCTGCAAACCCCAGGGATGAGGGCAGGTACTACTGTGTGGTGGAGGAATGGCTCTGGCTGGTGGATGGCTGGTACAAACTGGGAGAGGGAGCATCGGGAAGGACCACGCTGGAGTTCAAACACTCAGGTGAGCAGCTGTTATCCCTTGTGCAGGAGCTGCTGAGGAAGGCTGGATCAACTTATGACATGCTCCTGCCAGGCCTCTCCTAAGCTGGCAGGGCTTAGGAAAAGCAGCAGCTCCTGCCTTGGATCTGAGGCTTAGGGATGCAGGAGTTGTCAGTGCCTCTCAAAGGGAAATAGGGAATTAGGAAGATTTACTACATCCTCCCAAACCAACCGAGCTGCTATTTTTGCCACTGGCAGATGGAGTGGAAGGCTTCATAACAAAGKGAATTGTGGCCTTTTTCTTTTCCCTCCAACACCTGGTGCCCTTGGTTGGTTGTACAATGYTGTGAATAGAGCAGCTGCCCTTTCCTGGTACTCCTGAGCATCCTGAAGCAAAACACTTGGTTTTCCTTCCCCTGCAGCAAATTGCTGAGAAACAAGACTGAAGGTTCAGCTGCTCTCACCTTGATCCCTGCCCCATTGGGGTGCATGCTGGGTCTCCTTGGCTCAGYTCTCTCCCCTCAGCCTTGCTTGGTGCATGAATTGCTGCCCTAATTAAAGTGGWTCAGGGAATTCCAGCTTCCTAAATATCTTTCAGTCCAAAAGATGCCTTTATCACTTATTTGGAGGGGGTGGGAACTATTACAGCACAGGAGGCAGAAAGGATGGGCAAGGTGGGGATACAACAGYCCAGGGTGAATGAGCCACAGGAGCAAGGGGCCTGAGGATGTCCTGCAGGGGCTCTTGCCAGAGGCCATTCCAATCCCACTGCTTTGCTCTAGAGGGTTTCTGTCAGCCTGTGGGGGCAGGGAGAAGCATTTCTACAGTAGTACAACACCCCAACATCTCTTTGTGCTTGCACCCTTCCCCAGAGGGCGAGCTGCAGATGGAGAACGCCAACCGCAGCATCTCAATGCAGGAGGGCGAGGAGCTGACGCTGCCCTGCTGGCTGCGGGCTGCCCCCCTGCCCGGCACTCGCCTCTCAGCCACCTGGTTCCAGCTGCAGAGCGGTGGCCGTGACAGCGCCCTGCTGGCCCTGCGCCACGATGGCACCTTGGAGTACCCCCGGCAGCGCCTGGCGGGGAGGCTGCACCTCCGGCACCCTTCGGCCGGCAACTTGAGCCTGACTGTGAGCAGCGTGGAGAGCGGGGATGCCGGGGTCTAYTACTGCCGGCTGCAGGAGTGGCAGCAGCGGGGCGAGGGGAACCACTGGGCTCCGGGAGCCTCGGCGCGCTCGGGGTACACCCAGCTCACCACCATCCCGCCAGGTAACGCTGCTGGGCCTGAGGGGCTGCTCACACAGCGGGGCTTGTCACCCCAGGGCCAGAACCCTGAGTGTTTTGGGGAAAAATCCTTGGTGTGAGTTTTCTGACCTCTGTCTCTGGTGAGGTCCCTAAAAACAGCCCTGGTCCCTTTGGGGTGAGTTGGAGCACATGCTGGGTGCAAAGTTAAGGAGTCGGTTCTGCAGGCAAAAGTTTAAATAAATAAAAGCAAGGGTTTTGGTCAGGTGAACGCAGCGTTTTTAGGAAGGAAAGAGGCAGGAATTGTTGCTGCTTTGGGCAGATCGAAGGCTCAGATGACCCATGTGGAGGAAAAAGTATAACCTGTGAAATCAATTGTGATGYACCCGGCTGAGAGAACCCTGCAGCTGCACTCACACCTTCAGCTCTGGAGCTGCCGCACCTGAAGCCAGCAGGGGTGCCCAAGGGTTGTGGCTACTGCAGCAATTCCCAGGGCTGGCCAGCAGGGAAAGGATGACCTGCAGAGCCCTCTCCTGTGCCTTTTGCTCTCACAGCCACAGAGCCTGCTCTGATGGCTCTGCACCTACAGCAGAGCTGATCTGGGTTTAATGGCACAGAGTGACAGCGCTTCATCCCCCCTGCTGCTGTGTCACTGCTGGTTGTCCATCACGGCTCCCTCTGGCACTCAGATTTCTCCTCCATCAGCTCCCTCTTGTCTCTTGTTACCCATTACTAGTGGAGTAACCATTGCTAAAATTGCTCAGTAACTGCTAGTATATTCTGCTCCAATTTTTGAATAAGTGTTTTTGCCAAGTGGTTTTCATGGCTTTCACAAAAGGCAAAAGATTAGCTGGGTGTTTTTTCTTTTTTCCTCTCTTTTAAATTATACTTTTTCTTTTTGGAGGGGTGGCCCTGTGTGTTTATCCAGTGATGCAGGTATCTTTGAAGCATGCAGCAGCCTCCACATCAACTGGGGAGCTGCTGTGGGATGAGGGTGGTGCTCACAACTGCCTGCAGCTCAGTGTGGATGAAATGCGATAGCAGGCAGCAGAAACATGGAGGGGGAGGTGTCTGGGGGACACAGGAATCTCTTGATCTGGTTTCCTTTGTTTTCCTCTTGTCCTTTCTTGCTCGGTGGTGCAGCCTGTGACAAACTCTGGTGTCACTGGTGTCAGGCAGGGACCCAGAGGGGTGATGAGTGTGTTGCTTTTCCTTACTGAGCCCAGTCTGGAGTGGGCTAGCTGAACAACTGTGCAGTTTCTGTTGGGATGCTTCAGATAAACAAGCCAAGGCCTTATCTGACCTCCCCAGACAAGAAATTGAGGCAAATTACCTGGTTTCTCTCCCCCTTCTCCTCAGGTAGCCTGTATGAATTCYTAAAGATTGGTAGCTGCTGAAGATTGAGGAAAAAATGTTAAGAAAATAGAACTTAGAGAAACAGTAGGAGAGAGAAACTCTATCTTGGGGCCTCACTTTTTCTTTCCTTTTCCTTCAGAGTCAACAGTCATGTCCAGGATCTGCTCATCCCCTTCACTGCTGAACTTCATCTTATTCTTACCACTGGTTCTGATCCTTCTCCTGGCCCTCGCTGTCTGCTGCTGGTACTGCAAATTCAGGAAAAACAAGAAGGGCAACATCACAGGAAGCCAGCTGGTGGAACTGGAATGGGATGGAGAGGCCAAGAAACCTTAGCTGGTCCRTAGAGGCAGATGTTACTGGAAGGAGCAGAGCTGAGGAGGACTGAGTATTTGCAGAGGGGCTTTTTATTGTTTTGTAGAAGCTCTTGCAATAAATCCTTGAGATTGTGCSTTTGCTTTTGATGGAATGAAGCAGCTTTGGGATTACTGGGCTAATAGGGTTTCCATAACAAGTGTTCCTGTCTTTTAGGTTAGGTACTCACCCATTTCACATTCTGTTCACTGTGGTATTTTTGGGGTCCTTGCAGTGTGCACCTCCYGCTGTGGATGGAAGTGGTGCTATTCCTCTGCTGGAATAAGGGAAAAAACAGCTCTTTCTGCACTGTGACACAAAAGTACCACATTTCTACTCATTTTAGGTGTCTTGATAAAATCTATGTGGTATCCAGGCTAAAAACCATGATAGAGCTGGAAATGGAATACTGGTACCCCATTTAAGTCATCACATTTGGCTTTGCCCACCTTTTGCTGGGCAAGTTCTTGGACCCTGCTGCTTTCACAATATGAGAACACCTTTGACCAAAAAACATTATCTCCAAAACAAAATCATCACAAAACCTGTCACAGGAACATGAGGACTGAGCAAGGCTGGCTGAGCCTGAGGAATGTGCAGAGCAGAGGAATTGCAGCCATCCACAAAATACCAAATCCTGTTGACCCAGTGAAGGAATCACATGGAGTTTTGGATTCCGGAAGGAAGATGTGGACACCAAACTGTTGGTGAGATGAGAGGACAAACCTTCCAGCTCCTTCCTTTGCTTCTGCTGTAGAAGACAGCATCTATCCCTCATTGCTGGGCTTCTGTGGGTGAGGAAGCAGCTGGGACCTGGTATCAGACACAAATAGGTTATCCCTTGCAATAACAAAACCCGTGTGGGTGCTTGTGGGACAGCTCCTCCATTCTCTGGAATCCAGATCAGGCTTTTCAAGGCTGAGGAGCTCTGCTATCCAAAGAGTGTCTGGCTGATGCATTAGAGGAAAGGAGATTTCTGTCCAAGGGTAGTCAACCCCTAACTGTGAAAAATGGGATGTGGTCCCAGCAAGATTTAAGATYGGGGCAAAAGCAGTGTCCTCAGACAAAAGGAGGTGTACAGAAACCACAGCAGRCATTTATGAACCTGCTTCCTGTGACCACAGAGAGGTTTGGAGACACCACAGCCCCTCTAAATGATGTGTTCCTGTCCTTCACTTGCTTTACAGTTAGGAAAGCTGCCTGACTTGATCCTGAAGAGGTAGGTGCTTCAGCCCCTTGAAAAGGCACTTCTTGCACACGTTTAAGCCTACTGCTCCTGTTCCCCTGCTCTCTGTCTGCACTGGCTGGCTCTGGCTCGCTCAGCCTCCCCCACGGGATGTTTTCTGGACCCCGTGCAGCTTTTCCCTTTGCTGCCCTGACCCCAGCTGCCTCTCCCGCAGTGTGAGCACTCAGAGCTGCCCACGGGGCTCTCCGCAGAGGTTTCCCCCCTGCCTGGTGGGTTATGTCCCGTTTACACATCCCAGTAGGATGTTTGGTTTTCTCTGTGCGAGTGACAGTGCGGCGTTGTTTGTGCTTGGCTGTGCTCGTCAGGCTCCTCTCCTGCAGATYTGCTGTCTGGTGAGTTGTGTCTCTGCTGTGTGCTCAGGCTGTTTTCCTGTCTAACCCCCAAACCCCATTTGCAGGGGGATGTTGAACAGCTTTCTGCACCGGCTTGTGGAAGATCCTGCTGTCTGTCTCAGCCCTGTCTCAATAAAGCTTTAACTCATGGGCCAGTTTCAGTCTGTTTKGCAGAGAAGCAGATGCTCCCAGGGTTTTAAACTCCTACAATTTTCACAGGAAGTTGTAGGAGGATGAARGTGAGGAGGCAGATGAGTTGTCCCACCAAGGGAAGGCTGCAGTGTGAGTTGGCTGCTGGCRCCCAACTTGTGTTTAGGGGATACAGAAAAGAGGTGTAGGTGTGCTAGGGCATGGAAAGGAGAGAAAGAACTGCTTTTGACTATAAACTATTAACAATAAATCTATTGTTATTTTGTGCTGTTCTTCCATGTCTTCATTTGGATTGTTTCCTTAGTTTGCCCAATAATACCTTGGAAGCATACTCCACAAACCTTGGTAAAGTCAAGAATATATGATTATATATTCTTGGGGTACTCCTTACCCCTTCCCACAAGGCTTGCAGTCTTACTGCATGGGAGATAGGATGGTTTGCTTTTCTTTTGTTCAAAACAAACAAAAAAAGTTGTTGATTTTTTTTCCTTGCATTCTTTTAGTACTTTCAAGTACTTTGTCTCTGTATCTCTCTGGGGATTATAGTTAAGAATATGGTGTTCACTTTCCACTTCTTTTTAAACATAATTTTGCCCTATTCTCATCACTTGGTGTCTCACACCTCCTCAGATATTACCACAGCAAACTAGAAACAGATGGCTTGACAGCCCTAAGCATGGCTTAGGATGAACCTYATCACAACCATCTATTGGACTTATTCGGGTGGCTGCTCATTACCAGGGTGCTGGGGACAGCCCTTACCCTGCAGCAGCAGTTTTGTGTGTGGGTCAGGCTCTGAAAGCYGTGTGAGCTCTGAGTGACCCCGCTGGGTTTGGCCATGCCCCAGGCTTGTACCCGGCCACCTCAGYGCTCCTTTGCAGGTCTGTGGAGGCCTCTTTTCTGCCATCTGATCTGCACACAAAAGGCTGCAGACTGCTGCAACGTGAGATTTTTGTGTCTGGTGGACTGGGGAAAAAAGGTGGGTGGAGGGAGGGAGGGAGGGAGGTTTCTCCATCAATGGGGCACTTTCTTCTTCTACCCATTTTTGCTCAGTTAAACAGAACCCCGTGTAAGTAGCAGCCTTCTCTTCATGCAGGTCTAGAGGTTTTAATTTAAGTTTGTAAGTGTGCTTAGGGCCTTGAGGAAAGGGTCTGCAAGGAGAATGTGCGGTTTTGCAGCAGTGGGGCTTTTTCCCTTTTATTTTTTTTCCTGGCTTTGCTGGGTCACTGCCAAACCCCTCAGCTGTGTTTTTAAGAGGTATTTTTTCCATGAGTGGACTTGGAAAGAGTTGTAACTTACCACAGCAAAAGCTCCAAAACAATCCTATTTTTAAAGAGAACAATTCTGCCAGCTAAGGTAAATGTATGAGAGGGAGAGAGATGTGTGTGCTTGGTGGATCGGGGGGAGGATGTTGATTTTGCTCCTGGTTTCAACCACCTTCACCTTCATCTCTTCATTACTTCCTATTAGCTCTGAGTTGGTGTTGAAATTTGACATTCAGTTTTCTTCCTGTGATAAAATATTTAAAAAGTGGAAATAAAAGAAGCAGTTTTGATATCTGCTTTGGTCTCACTCGATGCCATTTTGCATTCCAGCTGGTTCCTGCAGCCCCTGCTTGTTTTGTGTGTCCTTTGGCCTTGGTCTTTGTCGCCTCAGACAAAGCAGAGCCACTCCTAGAACTCTGAACCTTCCTTAATCATCAAGAAACTGCTGAATTGCATCTGCCTGCTGCTGGGGTTTTGGTCMTTCTCAAATCATCTGMTCCTCCCTCTTTTCTTCCAGCAGAYAATAGGGCATTGCAGTCATAATTATTGTTATAGTTGCAGTTGCACAGGGCAGAAAAGGGCAGCCCTTGCCCTGGAGTGATGCTCTGCAGGGCAGAAGCAGTACAGCTGTGAGGCTCAGCGTGGGAAGGATCTGTGAGAGGTGGTAATGTGGTATCTGGCTCACCTTGCTGCCACAGCAAGCAGGAAGGACCAGCTCAGTGTCTTTTTAGCCAGCTGTACTCATGAGAAAAGATTCTGGTTGTGGTGGTGTGGGACCGACAAGATTCATGGTCCCCTAACTGTCTGGGTATTTAAAAAAAGCAAATAACAATCCTTTCATGGGCACTGTTCAAACCAAACACGAGAGCGCTTCCCTTGCAGCTCCTGTTCGGAAATGCGAACTGGAAAGCAAGGATCAGGCGCTCCTTGCTTCTGGACTCCGGACAGGAAGCAGAGTACTACAAGCCACAAATTCAAGCATGTGCTTGTGCTAGGGCTTCCTTTTATCCCTTCACTACATTTTTCCCCCTGTGTGTTTCTAAGGACAGTTATATATTTGAGGGATGTTGGCAGGGACCTGAACYTCCCTCCGCAGCCCGTGCCAGTGAGCTCTCCAGGGATGTGTGAGTGCTAGGTCGCTCCTGCCGTGGCAAACCACTCACCTCCATCAGCAGCTCTATTTCACCAGAATTACCAGGCAGAGGCTGTTTTGTCTTTCAGGGGGCATTGATCTCCTCCTCCCTGCAGGGGCAGCTCCTGAGCTGCTGGGCAAAGGGAGGGAGCTGCTCCTCCCCATGGCACTGCCCTCAGACCTCCTTGGGAACCATCCCAAGGCAAAGCGAGCGCTGTGGGGCAGAGCCTGATTCCTGGCCTCTCCTGTGCTGTACCCGCTCCTTGTAGGGGCGAGAGGAACATTTGTTTCTAGGGCTGCCGACTAAGTGTGAAAATTGACCTGCTGGGGCCAGAATGCTGGTTTTGTCATTATTTCAAGCATGAGGGAATTAATGGGTGAGTGYTGGAAGCAGCATGGCATGCCAGGAGGGGCTGCGACTCCTCCCAGCCCCCTCGTGGGATGCTAATAGGGAGGAGAGGTCCGGTGTCCCGTTTGAAAGAGAGGGGCCATGACCAATCGATGTTAAATGTGGCAGGAATGCCTCACGCGGTGGCCGCGGGATAAAAGGCAGAGGCAGCCCRAGCTGTAAAGACATTTCATTTCCCTGGTAATGAGGGAGACACACTGTGGCAATGAAACCGGCGAGAGGGAGGCTGCGAGATGCTAATTTCTGCTCCTGCTGCCGCTGCTGCTTTGATCTGAAGCAAATGCCCGTTTTAAATTGCAAACGGATGCAAGTCAGATATCATCCAGCCAGTGGCTTACAGGCTTAATGAAGTGGGACGGACGCTTCTGCCTGGCGATGTTCGGAGGGGCAGGCAATTCAGGGAGGAATTACTGAAGGTSTAAAGAGACGGGGGGCAAGGACAGGGGGGATGTCACAGGCTAACTCTCAGCGTGGCCCAGTGTCCCCGGCTTTCTGTCCTTGGGGAGCTGTGCCTGTGGCTGAGCCCCCTGCAGCCCCCTTGACAGACTGTCCTGGTGTCACATGCCCGCGTTTTAAGGCACTCATCCTGTACAAGGTCATCTTGCTCTCTGGTCTCAGGGTGTGAATGTCAATTTGGGGCATTCTGTGAGGTGAAGGTATGGGAGGTTCATTTGTGCTATCATTTGGCTTTTAATTTAACTTGAGCAAGACAACTGACAAAGTTGCTCTGGGATAGACCCAGAGGTCCCTGGGGATGGAGTCATTAATCCAGAAGTAGTGATCTGGGAGCCTGGTGGCTGATACTGGACAATGACAGCTTCTTGAGATGCTTTTGGGCAAAAATACRCCCTGTCTTGAAGAATGAACATCTAGAGGGGTATTTATTACGCTTTTCACGAAGACAAGGCTTTTGGGTGCTAGGATGAGGCTGGAATTTGTTGTGTGCCTCGTATGGGTGTTCAGGGGTTTGGATGTCTCTGCAAGCTGCTGTGCTTGACCAGGCAGGCATGAGAAACCTGAGGGACCTTCAGGCACCTGGCAGGATTGACCTCTGCACTAAGCAAGGGAGTAAATGGTCTGGCTACTGAAAAAGGCAAGTATGGCTCACAAATCCATGAGGTTCTTTGAAGGAGTCAGCATCTGGATGGGAAAAATCTCATGGTTGTGGTCCACAATGTCCATCGTTATTACAGGAACTAAGTAACGACAGGATAAGTGGCAGCTCCTCGCAGGGCTGAGCTACCAGTTAAAAATACCAGGCAGAAAAGAAAGTAAATGGTTCTGACAGAAAAGGGAGGTCACCAGCGATGAGACCTGCGCTGTTCAACAAGCACAGAAACAGGCTGGGAAAGGATGATTGCTAAACAAAGACAGACGATACCAAGTTAATCAAGGCATTAGCAGCAAGGGCTGACTGATGGAATGCAGGGGTGGTACCAGACTGAGTGCGTAACAAAACAGATGACATTTGTGTAGGTGACTGTAAAGTGAAACACGGCAGAAATTAATCAGTTTCATGTATGGAACGATGGGCTCTGAGCTGAGCACCATTCAGAAGCAGTACCTTGATGTGAGAATAGCCAGGTGTATTAACACCTGCACGATGATAACAGCACCAAAAGAGCAAAAAGCCACAATGAGTTRTGGGGAAATAAAGATCAAAACACCATTTTGTTGCTGTGTACACCTCGGTAGTGCACACACCTCTGCAAGGCTGTTCCTCCACGYCCAGAAAGGACAGCAGACCTGGCCAGGCCACAGGGAGGGCTGGCAAACAGCTTTGGGTTTTTTCCTAAAAATGTTTCTAAAAGCATTAGAATCCCCTTTCAGTACTGTAAATCATGTTAATCTGTAGGCCACTAGGCAAGATGAAGCTTTTAGATTATCTGTTATCCTTTCTTTTTCTACAGCAGCATCTATTCAAGGACTTCACACTATCACAATAAGATAGCTGAGAATATTTTCTGCTTAACAAATGAGGAACTTAGACATAGTGGTTTGCTGTGAAACAGGCAAAGAAATCAGAAATCTGTTTTTTATGATATCTCTAGAGAAAGAGACAAGAGAAAAGACTGACTCTAATAGTGAGAATCAAAGGGAAAAACCTCTCTGCTGGATCCAAAATAAGTTTCCATAGAAACCGATTTTTCTGAGAATGAATTACTGCAGTATGAAATTAAGATTGTGGATCTAATTCTGCAAAATATTTAAGCATGTTCCTTGCTTATCCCTATTCAGCTCAAGATGCAAGCATGTGATTTCCATGGAGGCTTATGTGCTTTATTTGATGGAGGTAGAAATAAGGATAAGCTGTGTTGAAGTGGGATACAGGTTTTCTTGTGCTTCCTTTTCACTGACAAACTTGCAGCTTATTTTTTATGACAGCATGTGTTACTTTGCTGCCAAAAGTACAGGCCCCAGTGCCTCAATCTGAGAGTTCAGCACAAAGTTCCATCAGACTTTAGCCACTGCTGGGGAGCGGAGTCAGCAGAGTTTTTACATTGCTGGGTACTTTATTGTTTTKTTAATTAACTTTTTTTCTATTTACGTGCAGAATTAATTTTATATGGGATACTTATTCTGTAAATGAATGCTATGGTGATTATCAGATAATTAATTTGAGAATTGGTGG